CAGCAATCTTTAAGTCATACAACAGATTCTCAATTGGATTGAGGTCTGGGCTTTGACTAGGCCATTCCAAGACATTTAAATGTTTCCCCTTAAACCACTCGAGTGTTGCTTTAGCAGTATGCTTAGGGTCATTGTTCTGCTGGAAGGTGAACCTCCGTCCCAGTCTCAAATCTCTGGAAGACTGGAACAGGTTTCCCTCAAGAATTTCCCTGTATTTAGCACCATCCATCATTCCTTCAATTCTGACCAGTTTCCCAGTCCCTGTCGAAAAACATCCCCACAGCATGATGTGTTCTCGGGTTGATGAGAGGTGTTGGGTTTGTGCCAGACATAGCGTTTTCCTTGATGGCCCAAAAGCTAAATTTTAGTCTCATCTGACCAGTGTACCTTCTTCCATATGTTTGGGGAGTCTCCCACATGCCTTTTGGTGAACACCAAATGTGTTTGCTTATTTTTTTATTTAAGCAATGGCTTTTTTCTGGCCCAGCTCTGTAAAGTGTACGGCTTAAAGTGGTCCTATGGACAGATACGCCAATCACCGCTGTGGAGCTTTGCAGCTCCTTCAGGGTTATCTTTGGTCTCTTTGTTGCCTCTCTGATTAATGCCCTCCTTGTCTGGTCCGTGAGTTTTGGTGGGCGGCCCTCTCTTGGCAGGTTTGTTGTGGTGCCATATTCTTTCAATTTTTTAATAATAGATTTAATGGAGCTCCGTGGGATGTTCAAAGTTTCTGATATTTTTGTATAACCCTGATCTGTACTTCTCCACAACTTTGTCCCTGACCTGTTTGGAGAGCTCCTTGGTCTTCATGGTGCCGCTTGCTTGGTGGGGCCCCTTGCTTAGTGGTGTTGCAGACTCTGGGGCCTTTCAGAACAGGTGTATATATACTGAGATCATGTGACACTTAGATTGCACACAGGTGGACTTTATTTAACTAATTATGTGACTTCTGAAGGTAATTGGTTGCACCAGATCTTAATTAGGGGCTTCATAGCAAAGGGGGTGAATACATATGCACGCACCACTTTTCCTTTATTTATTTTTTAGAATTTTTTGAAACAAGTTATTTTTTTCCTTTCACTTCACCAATTTGGACTATTTTGTGTATGTCCATTATATGAAATCCAAATAGAAATCCATTTAAATTACAGGTTGTAATGCAACAAAATAGGAAAAAGGCCAAGGGGGATGAATACTTTTGCAAGGCACTGTATGTACTGTGACCTCAAAGCCTCTAATATTGCCTCACACATCGGTCTGTTTACTCCATGTGTATTCATCTAATCCATGTTGTTGTTTTGTCTTTTCCAGCTCAAAAGGACCACACTGCTGAGGACGACCGGCTCAAAGCTGCACAGAAAAGGTATGAATCGTCTCTGTCCGTTCTAATATAACACAACACGATTAACCTAGAGGTCTTAGACCAAACAACGTGTCATATCTGTATAACAGAGGAGCTCTGTATTTCCTGACCTGGCTGTTTGCATACCTCTGTAGTACTCTAATGTTGGCTTTTATAAAACCTTCTGACATACAGAAGGGAACTCAGCCAAGTATAATGGATGGTGGATGTCATGTAGCCATTATTGTTTATTTAGCATGTTCACATAGATAACATGGCTCACATCAGATTAAAGTAATGCAGGTCATTTGTAAAGGTGTCTGTAGTAATTAGAGTTGCTGATAAGGATTGTGATAAGACAGACCCACTAGGCACAGACGTTAATTCAACGTCTATTCCACGTTGGTTCAATGTAATTTCATTGAAATTTGGAAACAATGTTGATTCAACCAGTGTGTGCGCAGTGGGGAGGCTCCAGTACTGGGCCCTTCCAGTATCCAGGCTCTTCAGTCATTTAGTAGAATCTCCAGGTCATGACCCGGCACACTGTACACTAGCCCCGAGATAGGGGAGGTCTGCCTATGGAGACACACACAGACACTATGCTTACATGTTCACATACACCCACCAAACTCACATACACTGCGCCCACGCCGATAACCCACAATGCTCACATACACACACTGTGTTCACTCCACTCCAGTTGTTATCAGGACTTATCTTCCGTGTTTGGTACTGAAAACTCCAAGAGTCACTGTAAGAAGGCCCATCTTATTTATGGAGAAATGGTTAACTGGCAGACGTTTAACTAGTGTCAGAGAAAAACCATATCTGGAAAATGTCATATTGGAAAAACACACTAGAAAGAACAAACAAAGCAAATAGATTATTTTTCCTTGTTTAGATAGAGACTAGAATTGTTTGCTTTAAATCGTAACTTTCCAGATTCCAAAATAAATCATGAAAAGCACATGAAGGAGAAACCAAATGACGCTTGACGCTGGAAAATGGAAACTATAAACTGTAAGATGTTGATTGCTTTGGACAATACTACAACTCAGCCAATGTTTCCATTTCAAGCCAAGAGAAGCACTCAGATTGGCAATGGATGGGTCTCTCCATCTCTCTCTCTGTGTCTCTCACTCCATCTCAGTCTCTCTGCCTTCTTTCTCTGTCTCTCTCTTTCCTCTCTCCCTCCTTCTCTCTCTTTCGCTCTCTCCCTCTCCCGGTGGTATTGTGATATCTCTGTCTGTGGCTGTGTGACTGACACCAGTGTAATGAAGGTCTTGAACTTGGGGATATTGATCAAAAGGATCCCGCAGCTGACAGCCCCTAGCCTTTAATGAAGTTTGCCTTTAATTTCATCCAAACGGGCTGGGGCTGCCTGCCGCTGGGGGGGCCTTCTCAGGTTCCCAGGGACGCACCTCGTAAAAGTGACACGCTGGTGATGAATATGGGCGGTGGGCCGTGGTGTGTGTGTGCTGTAGTGTGTGCCGTGTGTTCTGTGGGGCCTGGGTGGGCCCCGGCCCTCACATCTGTCCTGGATGAGGCATCTACCCCACCAACACAGCCACACATTAGGGCCCCGTGTTAATAAGGCTCATAGACATCACATCATCACTGCTAGCTACTGAAACACAAGGTCAACCCCTCAAGGAGTGGGAATGAAGTCGTCTGTTATGGCCTGAAGCCAACCATCATCATAGGAAGGACCCGTTGCTATGACATTTGGGTTGTAGAGAATTTACATGAATGTTGTCAATTGGTTGGCAAAATTACTTTATGGAAATCTGATATGATACACAGTTTATGACAGTTTCTGGTATTTAGTTTCAGTTTCTTGCTCAATATCCTGGGTACCCTATGCAGTGAGCAATGAGGTCCTTTCCTGAACATGCAATCCTAATTAGTTTCTTTTATGTTTCAGTGTCCCTGAGGTTTCCTGATACGTCCACAGTTAATGGACCATTAAGTTTCCCCTCCCTCATCATGCTCAATTTCATATGAAACGACTGCAGCATGTGTGCTGCTTACATACGTATGTGGTTACAGGGTGGTTAGCTGGAGGGATATTTGACCTGTCACAACTTCCATTATGCACTATCCAAAGTATATTGAAGATGTCTCGCCACCATTAAAGAAACATATTTTGTAATGGCTGACCACAGCAGTGTGTTTACCATTCTAATCTGTTGTTGTATGGAATGTTATCTTAGCGGTCCAAATATCCTTGTGATATTCCCTGTTGCCCAGGCTTTTAGCCGTCAGTGAGGAATGCTGAACATAGGTACAGTAATAAACCGTCTCATGGCAGGTGCATCATAGCCCTCCAGAAGTGCGTGGTATGTGCTTGTAGGACTCGGAGTGGGCATGTATGCATGCATGTATGTGTGTGTGCGTGTGGTGCGTCTTTGTGTGTGTGTGTGTGTGTCTTTTTGTGTGTGTGTGTGTGTGTGTGTGTGTGTGTGTGTGTGTCTTTTTGTGTGTGTGTGTGTGTGTGAGAGAGAGAGTAAGGAAAAGAGCTAAGCTTACCACACTACAGACTGCGTGTGATTTGTGTGAGCTCTGACACCTGACCCAGGGTCAGGGAAGGAGCCAATACAAAAGGGGCCTAGTTAATCACGCTGGACCGTGCTGGTCGGGTCTACAAAGGCCTTCAGAATGGATGTCAATTTGGTATGCCCGGCCGTCCATTCTCTGTTCTGTTCCTCCTGGGTTCCGCTGGCCTGGTCTGGTTGTGGAACGAGTCAAGGCGAGGATGATCTACTGCACCATCTTCCCCAGCACTGGAGCATCGGAGGAGCACATGACGGATATCTGGGGAATGGGAAGCGGCTAGTCTGTGGGAGCAGCAGTCTGCCGCGCACATTGCCCCGTCCCCCAACACTCCCCTCCCAACATGTCTTACATTAGCGTCGCAATAGCCACCTACCATCTGGAAGTCAAAACCTCTGTGTCAATCTGGGAGCATCTCCTGAATCATGGTGCCTCTATATCAAGCGCTCGACAGGCAGGGAAAAACATTTTTTTTTCAATGTTTGGGTTAGAGAAAGCCCCAGAGGAGCAGGCTGCTTTTCAAGCCCTGTGAGCACTGCTGAGAGCCTTCTGGACAGTTTAGATTTGGTTACAATTGAATTAGTCTGAGGATCTGCCATACACAAGGATGTGGATTCTCTTCTCGTTAAGGCTGAGAATCTTAAATGAGAATCTTGAATCTCTTCTTGTCTTGGTCGTCTGATGTGTCCACAAGCTGTAGTCTCTACTATTACTGGATTTGAAGTCCTAATCCACAACATGTTTGAGTCAAGCATGTCTCAGATAGCAGGTTGGATTAACGTTATCTGTGTGTGTGTCTGTGTGTGTGTCTGTGTGTGTCTGTGTGTGTGTGTGTGTGTGTGTGTGTGTGTGTGCGTGTACAATACAATACAACTTTATTAATCCCCAAGGGGCAATTCATTTGTGTGCGCGTGTGTGTGTGTGTGTGTGGGGAGCAGCAGCCAGCTCTTGGCTGGGTCCCCTGGCACTGTTCCCCTACAGGCTGTAGTAGAGGTCAATGTGATAATGGAGCCTCCGCTACCGGCTCTCCCCTGTGACCCAGTGAGATGTTCTCTCACTGCCCATCTCTCTTCTCCCACTGTCTCTCCCACATAGCTTCTTGGACATGGTGGGCTACTTTGGGCTTAAGCCAAAGTCTGGGGAGAAGGAGGTGGCCCCCGGTTACGTCTTCATGCTCTGGTACGAGTTCTGCAGCGACTTCAAGAACACGTGGAAGCGGGAGAGTAAGAACATCTCCAAGGAGAGGTGAGTGGAAGAAACCATGTCTGCATCACCATTCATCAGCGCTCATATTAAATCACACAGCTAATGACGAAAGGGAAAGTTCTAGAGCTCTTTGCCAACTATCTATTTCTAGAAACATGAGTGTTCTTTTTTTGATTAGATAAAAGGGGGATATGTTATGACCGGGCCAAAGTTCAGTCTTCACACATTAAATATGTTGAACAGCACCTTTAGTCGCTCTTTTCTTACACATCTTTAACACATAACAGATTGTTGGTGTCCCTCACGTTCCTGTGTGGTACAAAACACCCTGAACGGGGAATGATGAATTCTGTAAACAGTGTGGAGTGGAGCTGTTTTTACCAGTTATTAAAGCACAGGGGTGTCAAAGAGAAGGTAGGCAGGCCGGGCCCAGGGCCTGGTACAATGTCAAAGCCTGGGGCTGGATTTACGATGTTTCATCTGACTCGAGGCGTGGTGTCGTGGGGGAGTCCCACTGCGGGACAGCAGCTCTCCTGGAGGCCTTCTGGCTTTACTAGCAGGGGATGGGGGCCTGTTAAAGACTGTGTGTTCTGTGAGGACTGTTAAACATTGTCATGATTTGACCAGTCCATAGGGCTGCAGGCTTACTGCACATGGAGAGATGCAGCACTGGCCTAACCTGTGCCAAGTATCTGGTGTCAGGGCTGCTGGAAGGGACTTTGAGGGGCCAGACGTGCGTTAGGCTATTTTGGCATCATGGTACTAAGCTCTTAGGGGCCGATTCCAACTTAGGAATTTACAACTTTCCTATACACTACTCAGTATTTGGTATTCAGACTTACCTTATTCTGTCGTGTAACACGCTCTGCAGGTGTGGCTACCTTGCACGCGCTGAATACATTTCATTCAACCGCTGAAAACAAGCCGAAGAACTCCATCCCAACCGTGAAGCACAGGGGTGGCAGCATCGTGCTGTGGAGGTGCTTTGCTGCAGGAGGGACTGGTGCACTTCACAAAATAGATGGCATCATGAGGAAGGAAAATGATGTGGATATATTGAAGCAACATCTCAAGACATCAGTCAGGAAGTTAAAGCTTGGTCGCAAATGGGTCTTCCAAATGGACAATGACCCCAAGCATACTTCCAAAGTTGTGGCAAAATGGCTTAAGGACAACAAAGTCAAGGTATTGGAGTGGCCATCACAAAGCCCTGACCTCAATCCTATAGAACATTTGTGGGCAGAACTGAAAAAGCTTGTGCCAGCAAGGAGGCCTACAAACCTGACTCAGTTACACCAGCTCTGTCAGGAGGAATGGGACAAAATTCAGCCAACTTATTGTGGGAAGCTTGTGGAAGGCTACCCGAAACGTGAGCCCAAGTTAAACAATTTAAAGGCAATGCTAGAAAATACTAATTGAGCGTATGTAAACTTCTGACCCACTGGGAATGTGATGAAATAAATAAAAGCTGAAATAAATCATTCTCTCTACTATTATTCTGACATTTCACTTTCTTAAAATAAAGTGGTGATCCTAACTGACCTAAAACAGGGAATTTTTACTAGGATTAAATGTCAGGAATTGTGAAAAACTGAGTTTAAATGGATTTGGCTAAGGTGTATGTAAACTTCCGACTTCAACTGTATAATTTGTTAACTTGTTAACAAGTTAATAGGCTATTTATTGTATTTCAAACGTGCTATTGATTGTGTTTGGTTGTCAATACAACCAAATATCAACATTTAAAGGAGATTTGTCTTCTGCTTGGATAGTTCCATCTGTGCCACTGATTTACAGTAGTCTGGTTTTAATTCCAGTTTTTCTATGAATAAAAGTTAAAGAATAAAACCAAATCAAACTTTTTAAATGCACATTAAATAAAGTTTAATTTGATTTAGTCCTATTCTTTAACTTTGATGTTTGGTTGAGATGGAGACGTGAATAGACAAAATTAAATTAAAGCCAGACTAAGTCAGTGGCACAGATGGAACTATTACATTTACATTTACATTTTAGTCATTTAGCAGACGCTCTTATCCAGAGCGACTTACAGTTAGTGAATACATTTTTATTTTTTATTTTTTTATACTGGCCCCCCGTGGGAATCGAACCCACAACCCTGGCGTTGCAAACGCCATGCTCTATCAACTGAGCTACATCCCTGCCGGCCATTCCCTCCCCTACCCTGGACGACGCTGGGCCAATTGTGCGCCGCCCATGAGTCTCCCGGTCGCGGCCGGCTGCGACAGAGCCTGGATTCGAACCAGGATCTCTAGTGGCACAGTTAGCACTGCGATGCAGTGCCTTAGACCACTGCGCCACTCAGGAACTATCCAAACAGAAGTTACAGCTTCTTCAAATGTGACATTTGGTTGCATTGACAAGGGCTCGATTCAATCTGTATCGTTGAAGTTCAGCGTTAGCGGAGACTGCATTCACGGTAAATCAAACGTTATTACACATATTTTGCAGATGTTATCGCAGGGGCAGCGAAATTCTTATGTTACAATCTCCAACAGTGCAGTAATACCTAACCATACAAAACAATACACACAAATCCCAAAAATATCAGAACAAGCTATGTCAGAGTCCAGAATATAAATATATATGTATATGATGGTGTTTATAGACATTATGGACAGTATATGAATAGAAAAAGGTGTGTACAGCAGTAGTTACATTGCCTTGCAAAAGTATTCATCCCCCTTGGCGTTTTTCCTATTTTGTTGCATTACATCCTGTAATTTAAATGGATTTTTATTTGGATTTCATGTAATGGACATACACAAAATAGTCCAATTTGGTGAAGTGAAATTTAAAAAATAACTTGTTTCAAAAAATTCTAAAAAATCAATAACAGAAAAGTGGTGCGTGCATATGTATTCACCCCCTTTGCTATGAAGCCCCTAAATAAGATCTGGTGCAACCAATTACCTTTAGAAGTTACATAATTAGTTAAATAAAGTCCATCTGTGTGTAATCTAAGTGTCACATGATCTGTCACATGATCTCAGTATATATACACCTGTTCTGAAAGGCCCCAGAGTCTGCAACATCACTAAGCAAGGGGCACCACCAAGCAAGCGGCACCATGAAGACCAAGGAGCTCTCCAGACAGGTCAGGGACAAAGTTGTGGAGAGGTACATATCAGGGTTGGGTTATAAAGAAATATCCGAAACTTTGAACATCCCACGGAGCACCATTAAATCCATTATTAAAACATGGAAAGAATATGGCACCACAACAAACATGCCAAGAGAGGGCCGCCCACCAAAACCCACGGACCAAGCAAGGAGGGCATTAATCAGAGGCAACAAAGAGACCAAATATAACCCTGAAGGAGCAGCAAAGCTCCACATCGGAGATTGGAGTATCTGTCCATAGGACCACTTTAAGCAGTACACTCCACAGAGCTGGCCAGAAAAAAGCAATTGCTTAATTAAAAAAATAAGCAAACATGTTTGGTGTTCGCCAAAAGGCATGTGGGAGACTCCCCAAACATATGGAAGAAGGTACTCTGGTCAGATGAGATTAAAATGTTGCTTTTTGTCCATCAAGGAAAACGCTATGTCTGGCGCAAACCCAACACCTCTCATCTCCCCGAGAGCAGCATCATGCTGTGGGGATGTTTTTCGGCAGGGACTGGGAAACTGGTCAGAATTGAAGGAATGATGGATGGCGCTAAATACAGGGAAATTCTTGAGGGAAACCTGTTTGTCTTCCAGAGATTTGAGACTGGGACGGATGTTCACCTTCCAGCAGGACAATGACCCTAAGCATACTGCAAAAGCAACACTTGAGTGGTTTAAGGGTAAACATTTAAATGTCTTAGAATGGCCTAGTCAAAGCCCAGACCTGAATCCAATTGAGAATCTGTGGTATGATTTAAATCCCAGTGGCTAGATGTGCCAAGCTTATAGAGACATACCCCAAGAGACTTGTAGCTGTAATTGCTGCAAAAGGTGGCTCTACAAAGTATTGACTTTGGGGGGTGAATAGTTATGCACGCTCAAGTTTTCTGTCTTATTTCTTGTTTGTTTCACCCAAAAAAGTATTTTGCATCTTCAAAGTGGTAGGCATGTTGTGTAAATCAAATGATACAAACCCCCCAAAAATCAATTTTAATTCCAGGTTGTAAGGCAACAAAATAGGAAAAATGCCAAAGGGGTTGAATACTTTCGCAAGCCACTTCAAAGGCACATAGGATGACCCTTGAATAGAATACAGTACAGTATATACTGTACATATGATGTGGGTAAAACTGTCTGTTAACATTATTAAAGTGACCATTGTTCAATGACTATGTACAGTGCATTCAGAAAGTATTCAGACCCCTTCGCTTTTCCACATTTTGTTACGTTACAGCCTTATTCTAAAATTGATTAAATGTTTTTCCTCTTTAATCTACATACAATACCCCATAATGACAAAGCGAAAACAGGTTTTTATAAAAATGTTGCAAAAACATAATAATAATAATAATAGAAATACCTTATTTACATAAGTATTCAGACCCTTTGCTATGAGACTTGAAATTGAGCTCAGGTGCATCCTGTTTCCATTTATCATCCTTGAGATGTTTCTACAACTTGATTGGAGTCCACCTGTGCTAAATTCAATTGATTGGACATGATTTGGAAAGGCACAAACCTGTCTATATAAGGTCCCCCACAGTTGACAGTGCATGTCAGAGCAAAAACCAAGCCATGAGGTCGACGGAATTGTCCGTAGAGCTCCGGGACAGGATTGAGTCGAGGCACAGATCTGGGGAAGGGTACCAAAAACGGTCTACAGCTTTGAATGTCCCCAAGAACACAGTGGCCTCAAACATTCTTAAATGGAAGAAGTTTGGAACCACCAAGACCCTTCCTAGAGCTGGCCGGCCGGGCAAACTGAGCAATCTGGGGAGAAGGGCCTTGGTCAGGGGGGTGACCAAGAACCCGATGGTCACTCTGACAGAGCTCTAGAGCTCCTCTGTGGAGATGGGAGAACCTTCCAGAAGAACAACTATCTCTGCAGCACTCCACCAATCAGGCCTTTATGGTAGTTGCCAGACGGAAGCGACTCCTCAGTAAAAGGCACATGACAGTCCAATTGGAGTTTGCCAAAAGGCACCTAAAGGACTCTCAGACCATGAGAAACAAGATGATCTGGTGTGATGAAACCAAGATTGAACTATTTGGCCTGAATGCCAAGCGTCACGTCGGGAGGAAACCTGGCACCATCCCTACAGTGAAGAATGGTAGTGGCAGCATCATGCTGTGGGGATGTTTTTCAGCGGCAGGGACTGGGAGACTAGTCAGGATCGAGGGAAAGATGAACGGAGCAAAGTACAGAGAGATCCTTGATGAAAACCTGCTCCAGTGCACTCAGGACCTCAGACTGGGGCGATGGTTCAACTTCCAACAGGACACAGTCAAGACAATGCAGGAGTGGCTTCGGAACAAGTCTCTGAATGTCTTTGAGTGGCCCAGCTAGAGCCCGGACTTGAACCCGATCGAACATCTCTGGAGAGACCTGAAAATAGCTGTGCAGTGACGCTCCCCATCCAACCTGACAGAGGTTGAGAGGATCTGCAGAGAAGAATGGGAGAAACTCCCCAAATACAGGTGTGCCAAGCTTGTAGCGGCATACCCAAGAAGACTCGATGATGTAATTGCTGCCAAAGGTGCTTCAACAAAGTACTGAGTAAAGGGTCTGAATACTTATGTAAATGTCATATTTCATATTTTTATTTTTAATACATTTGCAAAAATGTCTATAGAACAGTTTTTGCTTTGTCATTATGGGGTATTGTGTGTAGATTGAGAAAAAAAATATGTAATCCATTTTAGAATAAAGCTGTAACGTAACAACATTTGAAAAAGGTCAAGGGGTCTGAATACTTTCTGAATGAACTGTACATAGGCCAGCAGTCTCTAAGGTGCAGGGTAGAGTGTCGGGTGGTAGCCAGCTAGTAAGTGAATAAGTTCAGGGCAGGGTAAACGCTGCATATGTCGGCACAATCGGAAATTACCTTTTTAAATTTGAATCGTGTATTCTGTAACGCTTCCCGAGTGGTGCAGCGGTCTAAGGCACAGTATCTACCTCAAATACTCCGTACCCATGCACATTGATCTGGGACTGGTACTCCCTGTATATAGCTTCATTCTTGTGTATTTGATGTGACAAAAAACATTTGATATGTTTGCCCCATACGCACCACACATACAGTAAAGCCGGGCTAGCTATCTTTGAACTGGTGAGTTATGGACAGAGTTAATGCTCTCCCAGCCATTCCATGGATCCATGTGCTCTCTCTTAATTGTTTACTAGGCAATCATGTCCCGTATTACCCACAGCTGATTGTGCTTATGTACAATTAACTTTATTTTAAATACTGTTCGCACACCCATAAAACCCAAGTGTTTTTAAGACTAGCTCATTATCTCATCGACCCACTGTCATTCTCCCTGCTTTCACCAGTGGGTTTCACTACCTGCTAACTCCAGAGAGGGTTAACAGAACAGAGTGGGGCTGTGAGGGAGGATGAGGACTCTCCATGCCACATACAGTAGTGCCCAGGGGGGATACATACTGTGGTGTGTACATGTTGCTGTTACAGTACAAATAGGTTTTCTGTCTTAGACATGGCAGTGTTGTGCCACATGGTCAGATATGTGACACAATGTAAAAATATGAGGGAGCTGTTCTGGTATACACTGAGTGTACAAAACATTAGGAACACCTTCCTAATATTGAGTTGCATCCCCTCAATTCGTCGGGCATGGACTCTACAAGGTTTCTAAAGCGTTCCACAGGGATGCTGGACCATGTTGACTCCAATGCTTCCCACAGTTGTGTCAAGTTGGCTGGTAGTGGATCTCTACTCCGAATAGCTAGTTCCATCTCATCCCACAGATGCTCAAATGGATTGAGATCTGGTGTCTGGGCAGGGCACTGCAGTAAGCTGAATTCACTGTCATGTTCGTGGAACCATTCCTTGACAATCCTAGCCTTGTAGCATGGGGCATTATCCTGCTGAAAAAATCAATTCGCAGATGGATACACTGCTACCATGAAGGGATGCACCTGATTGGCAATGGTGTTCAGATATCCTGTGGCATTCAAACATTGCTCCACTTTTATCAAGGGGCCCAATGTGTGCCATGAAAACAAACCCCACACCATCAAACCACCACCTCCAGCCTGCAATGTTGACACGCGGCAAGATGGATACATGTACTCATAGGGTTTTCTCCATACCCTAGTCCTCCCATCAGCTTGAAACAGCAGGAACCGGGATTCATCAGACCAGGCAATGTTTTTCCAATTCTCCAGCGTCCAGTGTTTTCGTTCCTTAGCCCACTGCAACCGCAGTTTCTTGTGGAACTCTGTATGGTCGTCGGCTGCCATACCCAATTCGTGTCAAGGTACGACGAGTTGTGCATTATTTTATGGGTCTTTGGGCACCAATGTTGTACTAGACTGTCAGTTGACTAACTGTAACCTGTCTGTTGCTCTGCACAATTCGTGTCAGCCTCCTTTATCCTCTTTCATCAATAACCCGTTTTCGACCACTGGCCTGCCGTTGGCTGGATGTCCTTTGGGTGGTGGACCATTCTTGATACACACGGGAAACTGTTGAGTGTGAAAAACCCAGCAGCGTTGCAGTTCTTGACACACTCAAACTGGTGCGCCTGGCAACTACTACCATAACCCGTTCAAAGGCACTTCAATCTTTTGTCTTGCCCATTCACCCTCTGAATGACACACATACACAATCCATGTCTCAAATGTCTCAATCAAGGGTTAAAAATCCTTCTTTAACCTTTCTCCTCCCCTTCATCTACACTGATTGAAGTGGATTTAACAGGTGACATCAATAAGGGATCATAGCTTTCAGCTGGATTCACCTGGTCAGTCTATGTCATGGAAAGAGCAGGTGTTCCTAATGTTTTGTACACTCACTGTATGTACTACCATCAAAGGTTATTTTAACCTGTATAGATAGAGACATTTTGTAGTTTCCTGATATGATTGAGGTTGATGTTTCTTTTCTTCCAGGCTGAAGGAAGCACAGGAGAACATCAAAAAGATCACAGCTGAGAAGAGGGTGGAAACCAAGAAGATCAATGCCAACAGTCTGGTAAGAACTGTACTCCAACCCCCCTCAAATATTTTGAAGGATAACGTTGTTGCTATTATCTTGGCTATGGACGCAGTCAATCATGGTGGATCATATCAAATAACACAATGCTATAAAGCTCAGCTCCCTTTTTCTCCTCTGTCAACAGAAAGAGAGACTGCGTCAGAAGGAAGCCAGCGTGTCCTCCAGCTGAAGAGGATGATCATTGAAGAACAGAGTGGAGAGAGAGGAAGTGTAGAGAGGAGATGATCACTTCTTCCCTTCACCACCTGCCTTTTACCCAACATCATACCTCATATAGCCCTCCGTGCCCCCACACTCTGGACCTCTCTACTACGGCCCATTCTACCGTCCTTACTGACTGGACCATATTCACTGCTCTCAATGGGGCACCCCTTTTCCACCTCAACCTCTTCCCCAGATGAGAGGCACCTTGTGTGGGCTTCTATCACTGTGTATCCCTAGGACCACCATCCAGACCAACACTTACACCATGGGAAAGAGGAAACGGTCTGCCTGCCACCCTGCTGCAGATATGCAGGCTGCTAAGTCTACACAGAGGGTCCATGGCTGACAAAACAGCTGATATGATGAGACTCACAGGGGTCAAAGGTCAACCTCATTCATCCAGACTGGTGTGACCTTTGAATGGCCAGCCTGTAGAGCCTGCTCGGAGGCGTGCTGGGGGTCAGGACAATGAGCACTCCAGCTGACATATCTACAGTGATGACCCCTGACCTCTAGGCTTCCTAGGCCTGCTGGAGCTGAGGATCTACATGCATCCCTTATTCTGGGTTTCTTTCAGGACAGCATCACACATCGTGATGACATATAATCCAATGTATTATAGCTAGGTTATGCAAAAACTACAGACGAGGCCTCATTGTTGCTGAGCTATGTTAACAAATATGGTGATCGTCACTCAGAGAAACTATTACGATTACGTAAAAGGCAGTAAGACATTCAGGAGTTGTTATTCTAACAATGATTTAGAATATGAAAGCAGTATACAATACTTTAATGTAAAGAATAGCTTTCATCTGCTGTGGCCCATCCATGTTTGAAGTGTGTCTTGTAAATGTATTTCAAATGGTGTTTGTTTTCAAATGAGCAGGGACTGAAACGTTTAACCTGATGTTATATTATGAAGAGAATCGGTAGCCTTTATTGGGGCGGCAGGTAGCTTAGTGGTTAAGAGCGTTGTGCCAGTAACCGAAAGGTCGCTGGTTCTAATCCCCGAGCCGACTAGGTGAAATATCTGTCGATGTGCCCTTGAGCAAGGCACTTAACCCTAATTGCTCCTGTAAGTCGCTCTGGATAAGAGTGTCTGCTAAATGACGTAAATGGAATTGGACTGAGAGTCCTGTTGAAGGCATAGCGATGTGGGTCCTGGTCAAAAGGTAGAAACAGGTTGTCATACCAATGTTGACTTTCTCACTGCACCAGACTGACCCCTCCTGGGTGATAGCCAGAGAATGCCAGACCTTGGCAGCAACGCCTTGCTCTCAACCCGAGTCACACATCACGCTCTGAGATGAACAAACAACCCCGCTATACACTACGCTGAGGAAAGCAAAAGGTAATCTGATTGTGGCTGCCCTGACACATTTTTTAAGTGTATATGATAGAATAGTTTTTGTTCCTAATGAATGTTGTTTATGACATATGTATGTCACAATCCTAAGCACTTTCCTGCTTGCATCAGCTGTATTTAGTAGCTACATCCTTCTGTTATTGTCAGAATGGTACTTAATCAAATGTACTGCACTTTTAGCACCTAAATTTGAACTCCTATGCAATTATATGGTTCCCGCGCTATGATAACATTTGTGAATTAACACATGTTGTGATAAAAATTGCATCATCCATTTATTTTTTGGAGAGAACTATAGTATATTTATTTTTGAACTCTGGAAGATTTCAACTTTGTCTTGGAAAACTATAAATGATAGGGGTAAACCTTTATTTATATATTAATATGAAAGATTTATGCCAAAACATTAATTGTTTTCTCTTTGAAGTTGTATTTTTGTATATTATTTTGATTCCTGCCTTAGCTTGAAGAGGATGCATGAATGGCTCAGTAGTCAGGTGAAAGAAGTGTTTAGTTTCATATGGATATGACCTAATCATTTACCCCAAATGGTCTTGTTTCATACCCGTCCTAAACTGATATGGAGAGTATAATTTGGCTATATATATTGCCTTTTGTTTATTTTAAATCAAGACCATTTTTACTTTGTTTAAAAATAGAAACAATTACTCATATCAAGCCATGTGTAGGCCTATACTTTACCCTTGTCAGAACCTATAGTGTCAAAATAGCACCTTTGTTTCATAATCATATGAATGTGCCATTATTTTTTGTATGAAGACATTTCATAATCTTACAATTGCATTTTATGTTTACTTTAAAGGTTTTCAAAACCAAATTAGTACGCTAGAATTTGAATTTGATAAAGGCCTATATGTATATAATGTATATGCTGATTCATTTAGTAAGAGGCCTACTCTATGTTCCCACGTGTTTTAGGTGTTTTATCGTTAAAAATGAATTTGCGCGAGGTCAAAGTAATAGATTGCAAACAATTCAGTCACCAAAGTCTTAACTGGAGTCTAGAGATGAGGAAGCCTTGCGCGCATGGAAACGGATGTTTAACCCTGTCTGTTGTTTCTCTACTTTCAGCACTCCCTAATAACATTCAGGCTCAGTAATGATGCAGTAGCCAAATAAAGGTGAAAATGACTATAGCCTAATTGTTTCATTGATTTATGTGCAATGATTTATTAATTTGCACCTAGTTATCTCACAATGCACATTTTCATTATAAATGAATAATTTGAAAATGTTAGAAAGCACGATAATAATGAGAGAAAGTACACCTACGTTAAATCGATAGAAATTGATAGAAACAAGCAACTTCTCTAAACATGACTTGTAGCCTATTACACTTGGCTACATGTGCCAATGGAGGTGCAAACTTGATTATGTCAGCACTACATTCGGTAGAATGAAGACATGGCAAGGGTAAATCGAAGCAGAGAGACGCAACTGACATGTTCGTTGCCTAAAACTCTGAAGTCCCAGCTGGATGCATCTTTACTGCATGGGGCGGCAAATTGCCAAATGTGCAAGAGGCTTAAACAACTCGACAATAAAGAGTTGATAAAGAAAACTGATCGGTGTTCAATTTTTAGAGAAGGCTATTGATTGGTTGATGTATCTATTTTTAGAGAACCATGTAGGCCTACACCATCTGAACAAGAAACCTTAATGGAGCAATGGTTTTACAAATGCGTTAGCCCGGTTTAGCATCAGATTGTCCCCACAAAAACATGGGCCTGTGACAGATTTGCGAGCCAGGGGAGATCCTATTGTAAACTTCGATAACATCGTTTGAAGGGGTTATTGAAAAGGTTGTTGAGTCTAACATGTAATGGCGTTTCTTGTGGTCTTTTCTCATAAATGATCTTCGTTTTACGACGGAATGTATCCAAGGGTTTAAGGAACGTATATAAGTCCCAGCAAGAGGTTGGCTCCAAGCAAGAAGAAAATAACCCATCGCTAGAGAATATGTTTTTATTTGGTGTTTAGGGTTAACCTGATACATAAAATGCTCTGCATGAAATCGGAGTCTTTGCAGTTTGGGTGTGGGTTAATTAACGATCCATTTCACATCTGCTGTGTCTGCCCTGCACCCTGACGCTGAAATGTTCAGACATGAACAATGTAAGCAAAAAGCAAACAGGTTCAGTGACCACTGCATCAATGTCAATATCTGTTTATTTTGTTTTGTGGATCACTTGCTCTGATAGAATTATCAAACTGGTTGCATATACAATTCGTGTATGAATAACATTTTACAACTAAAAGAAAAGCTTCCATCTACAGCATTATAAACAAGTATGTAGGCCTACATCGAACATTTTCATTTCCATGTCCAACTAACACAGATATTTTGTTTGTTTCGATTTATAGCATCGAACCTGTTGGTCCTAGCCTACTTTACAAAAGCTCTCCTTTCTCCACTATAATACTGAACATTGGAGTCACAGAAATCAGTGGAGCATTCTTGCCACATTAAATAGTCGTTACTTTTCTTCAAATTCCACATAGTGGAAACTATCTAGTAATCAACCATTAATTATATAAACGAATTATCCATCATATTTCCCCCATTGAAATTGGTTTTGATAGCCTATTGCTGTTTCTATCCAAAATAGTGTAAAAACATTGTGTGAAAAGGTTCTGCAGTCCTATTTGCGGAGGTTGGAAAAGCCGTGCGCTTGGTTACAAGTCAATCAGCTGCTTGTTGTGTTCATTCCATGTCATTATACCATGCAACGTTGCTTGCCACAGGCTGCTATTGCAATTTGATTAATAGGAAATTATACGCATAAGAATATGTCCAAGCATATCTACAGAAGCCTAGAACATGCTGCACATGTCTATCTGATCTTACGTTCCTTGCAGATAGACATTTTTCTCATATTTGGAATAGGGAAACATGCTCCAAGTCATACGGTGATTATCCTTCATGTGAACAATCCAATAAAATTGTTTGATGAGTAGACTAATTGGCCGCATCCCAGCCAATCACAGGGCTAGTCCAAGTCTATGGAGATGCAGCGGCACTGCTTTACGCGCTGGATGCGCTTCTTCTTGGTGGACGGCTGCTGGTCCGGACAGTTCAAAGTGAAAGTCATGGTAGTAAATCGTTTCGGCTTGCAGAACGAACAAGACTGAAAGGCTCCCTCTTCCCTGCGGACATGTCTGGGGATGTAAAAAGAATTACACTGTCCATAGCAGAACCGGTTAATGATGGTGCGGCTGATGCAGCCCTCCTCGTGGATGGTCTGTTTGAGTGGCTGGGTCTTGCACCAATCGCGTTTCAGATAGCGGCGCTCCGTGACATGCAACGCTTCTTGGCTGGACTCCAGCACCTCCTCAGCCGGTGCAGCAGAGCTCTTTTCCCGCCGTCGGGAACCAGAGCCCGCCTGCGGTGTCTGTGGTTGCTGCTCCGATTCATTTGGGTTGTTTTTGTCAGGATGAGGGATGGCGCCTTGGGAGCCCCTGTTCCTTTTGGAAGCCACTGTATATGAGAGCAGCCCCAGGATGAAAACCATGCCACAGATGATATACGCCGATCTGGCCATCCTTGAGGGGGAAAGATAAATGAAGGTTGAATTATCATCCATAGCCTAATCTCGGTTACTAAAATCTCGGGTAATTTGGTAAACTGGTTAACGCATAGATATCTATCCACGAGAGATTATCCATAGCATCATTTCAACGCTGTTGTTGTAAACGACAGCCCAGGTTTACCCTGCATAATGAACGCATGTGCTTTCTCGCCTGTTTTTTGTCCTCACGAAACATTCCGCAATTTACGATTTAAGAGGAATAGAAACATTAAACATTGCCTTTAATGACCATATTGATTTTTTTTATCGTGTTTTTATATTGAAAATATAGTCCACATGACCTAATTCAATAGACAAATCAGATGAAGATATATCAGAATGCAAATGGATATTTCATGGATATTGCGGTAGCCAAGCCATTGCGTAAAACAGAAAAAATAAAAACAGTAACCTTTACGCATGAGAATAATCATTACATTTAACATGTATATTTACAATAGGCTACAATAATCATTGGGACATGTCGTCTAACTACAGAATAGGTATACATACAAGCAGAGATTACGCATAAGGACCACCTGCGATATGATGATAAGGAATCTAATAAGATAACATGTCCATGTTTTACGCACGTACTTTCTCAGATGTTAAGCGTTAAATTTCACTAACCTGTCAAAAGCTCCAAGTAGCGCAAATGAAATTATCTGTGGTGGGTGTTCTTTATGAAGTGTCCGGAGGCAAGAGGCAGCTAATGGTGGAGACTGTAGTACAGCAGAGGGGGCGCGCGCTGGTGGGAGTCTGGAGTCGCTAAGGATTCCATAGAAAGAGGCTGAGGTTTTAATACAAATTGCAGCAGCGCCGGACTGTCTCCTTTTTAAATGTCTGCCAGCTGAGAGGTGCACAACAGATCCTTCCACATTATTGGCTAAGCACGATGAAGGAAAATCAAAACTATCCGCCCCCTCAACACTTCCCTGAACCCACTTTAAGAATACCATGGGGGAGGGGGAGTAGGAGAACTTTGGCACGAATTTCATGGAAACCATGCAGACTTCAGTGCTATACTGGGCACACATTTGGGAATGTTATGCATGTCATAAATATAAAGTAGGTCTAGCCTATTTTGCTCAACTGCATGTTAACTCTTTTATCTCTAATTGTCTATAGGCTAGTTTAACAGAGAGGGAGAGAGGGGCCAGTAATGATTTATTTTACAGTCTGCTTTTTACATGACATAAATTACATGGTACTGATCTTTACATAATGGTCCCGGATAATTACTTTTGGGAATGCCAATTGAAACAGTGCCAGGTGATAGGACTGTATAAGAAAATGTTACCACAAATAAACAATGCATGTGACCCAACTGAATTAAAAGCTACCATTTATTGGCAATATAGGCTATTTGTGTGACTTTGCCTAAAAATGTAAAATACAGATGTAATACAATTATTACGTTTAATATCATAGGCATAGTTCCACAAAACGTAGGGCCTAATTGTATTTTAATGACGTTTTCAATAGAATGCATTTATTGAATTATTCAGAATTTCCCTAATGCCTAGGTATTATAGGCTATGTTATTGCGAAATTGATGATGTTCTTTATCCTGAAATTACAATTTTAGTAAGCTGTTTTCGATTTGGAGAATAACAAAATAAAAAATGGATTTTTTTTTTACTAGGATGCATTACTTGACCAAATTAGGCCTACTAATATTTACGATTGGGAAACGAATAAGCCATTTAAATTAAGAGAAAATATGTTCTGAACCAAGTCTTTATATCACCTGTCGCGCCAAATTGAGTAGGCTAATAATGCTTTATTTAAATTAGACTTATGTTTAATAGAAAATAAAGTGTTCCAATTTTCTAATAAAATAAATAAATAAAGAGTTCTTGGTTAGTGCGTAATTGGTTGGAAACTGTTATGGAAACATTTGTGCCGGGAAGAAATGTTGAGAAATTAGCATGACGTTTGAAAATATATTTAGGGTAAAAGCCCAAAACACTTTTATTGTTTAGAAATTAAAACATAAGCCCCACAAGACAAGTCCAATTCCATTCCTGACATTTCCGCATAGGCTCCTCTGTCTCACTTCAGTTCATTCCCGTCCATTCACACTTCTTAAGTGTTTTTAAGACCGTTTCATAAACAGAAGTTCTACAATGGATACAATCTTAAAACTATTTGAAGCATCACTTGTTTGGTTATGGGCTAAAGACAGTGCGTCAATATGTGTTCTGTTTAGGCAAAAGTGATAGCCTATCACAAGTGTGTTTAGGCTTCAGTAGGCCTAGCATATAAATTAGCCTACTTGTTTCATAGGACAACGAACGAACCCTAATCCTATGTTATTTCATCTTGGCAAATAAACTCATGACCTGCTATATATCTTCAAATACAAAACATAAAACAAAATCGTTTTTCTATCGGATAAACCAGTCACAGTATTCTACACCTTTGACTATTTTAGGCTAGGCTACCTCATATTCGGTAGTCAGGTGTTTTTCCTGAGGTAGCCTATCAAATCCTCACCCGCATGAAGGTCTGCATAGACTATGTTGAGTTCTGAAAAGTGTGGATTTGGTGACCTGGCCATGTTTGCAGTTATAACCGTACATCCTGAGTCTCTCCACGCTGTTGCTTGTTTGAGTCCAGCATTATTTGTAGGCTTACTGGACTACTCCCCATCTGCGCAACACATGGTTGGCGGCCAATCCTCGCAGCAACGTAAACATAATGCAAAGCCATAATATAACGGGTTTTCAAATAAAGATGCATGCAGAGCACGTCTACGGTTGTGCACAGGAGTGTGATGAGTGTGGTGTGAAGGGAATTAATTGAGGTGCCAGCAATGGGATATTATTCATATTGCTCAATCAATTCAATTAGTTGATCATTTTTAACAGATTGAACACTCCATCATGGCTTGATAGCCTACAGCTAATCTTAGTATTCATAAATCATTAGATAGCCTATATTAGGCCAATATTACTTCAATTGTCTCAAATAAATACAACATGACAGTCTACAAACCTCTATGTTTAATGGGATAACTAGGGCCAGTTGTTTTGGTGGGTTTTTGTGGTTAATTTATTTGACCAGTATTTCCAGCATTATTCACTAGGTTTGCTGCAGGTAGAAAATCCTAGGAAATGTTCTTTAAATTACAAGTTGTCTCCAATCAATCAATCTCTTGTTGCGCGTGAATGTTTGGTGGGGGGATTGCCTAATTAGCCAGGGGAGGCTAATTAGCACTACGAATCTAAAATGCACAAAGCCTATTACTTGGCAGGGAATACTATTTGTAGATTACTGATTATACACCTTACTTTGCTCAAGCTGATCCTCACCAATGGACTCAGAAGTAAAAAAAGAAAAAAAAAAGGGTAAATTAGGGGCAGTTTAATAGACTCAGCGAAATGACACTGGCCGTGTTCCACATCGCATCCGACAGCGCAGGCGACTGCAGACTAACTGATCTACAAAGAACTTTGCAGCATAAACTACTCACACTCTTATAAAAAAAAGGTTCTGGATAGAACCTAAAAGGGTTATATGCTTGCTTCATATATGGCATCCCTAAAGGTTCTATATAGAACCCTACTTGGGAATTGCCACCAGCAGCACAGCAGATATTAGGCGAGTTCGAGTGGATCACAGATCACTTTTGTCAAGATGTTGACCAACGTTGGTCATCGCCTTTCAAAGTGTTTTGCATTATGGGTATAAGAATTGTCCGACTTGCACTACATGTGGACTGCATGATCTTTACAAACATGATGTGATGAAGTCACCTTCAAGTCGCTGTAGTTGCTTCTCACCAACTGCACCATGAAGCCATCACCTTCATTGTGGGAGGCACAATTTGTCAACCAATCATTAGGGTGTTTTTGTTTGACCCATGCAAACTTGGCCAAAGAAGTGACTGAAACAGGAACCAACTTTGCAGCATTTCTAAAGCTACTGGGGATACAAATGAAAGTGATATTTGGGACATCTCTCTGACCAGTGGTGTAAAGTACTTAAGTAACAATACTTTAAAGTACTACTTAAGTAATGTTTTGGGGTACCTATACTTTACTATTTATATTTTTGACAACTTTTACTCCACTACATTCCTAAAGAAAATATGTATTTTTTACTCACATTCATTTTCCCTGACACCCAAAAGTACTCCTTAAATTTTGAATACTCAGGCAGGACAGCAATATGGTCCAATTCATAACGTGTTGCCATCCCTACTGCCTCTGATCTGGCACTCACTCAACACAAATACTGTGTTTGTAAATCATGTCTGAGTGTTGGAGTATGCCCCTGTCTGTCCATACATATGTTTGACAATTTTTTTGCTTAATATAAGGAATTTGATGTATAGCATTTACTTTTACTTAAGTATGATGATTGAGTACTTTTTCCACCACTGTACTTTTAGACATTTAGTCAAGTAGTATTTTACTTGGTGACTTTGACTTGACTCATTTTTGATTAAGGTATCTTTACTTTTACTCAAGTATGACAATTTAGTACTTTTTCCACCACTGACCACACATTAAGTTTTCAGTGAGTGTGTGATACGGGGGTATGGAAAAGTTTATTTCGACATTTATACAGAAAAACTTTTATAAACAATAGCAGCTATGTTGACACTGCCATGTGGATCTGAGCCTTGCTGTTGGAAATCCACTACAGTGTCCGACTTTCAGCTGTTGCAGATGCACCTCCCTGGACATCACTCTCCAACTTTCGTCTACAGTCGGCTTTGTTAGGCTTACCGCTGGAACACACCCATTGAGATGTGCAAGATGCAAGACTTCACTCTCACACAGTCAAACACAGTATATGCGCACACTGGCGGACTTACCATTAGGCAGAAGAGGCAATTGCCTCAGGCCTCACATCATCAAGAGGCATCATGAGCTGGGCATAAAAAATTTTTTAAACAAAAAAATATTATTATTATTTCTCAGCATGCTCCGCTCAAGGCATAATAAATAAATAAATACATAATCCCCATCACGGGCCTCCCAAGTGGCGCAGCGGTCTAAGGCACTGCATCACAGTGCTAGAGGCGTCACTACAGACCCTGGTTTGCTCCCTGTATCACAACCGGCCGTGATCGGTAGTCCCATAGGGCGGTGCACAATTGGCCAAGCGTCGTCCTGGTTAGGGGAGGGTTTGGCTGGGGGGCTTTACTTGGCTCATTGCGCTCTAGCGACTCCTTGTGGCGGGCCAGACGCCTGCAGGCTGACATCAGTCGTCAGGTGAACAGTGTATCCTCTGACACATTGGTGTGGCTGGCTTCTGGGTTAAGTGGGCGGGTGTTAAGAAGTGCGGTTTGGCGGGTCATGTTTCAGAGGATGCATGACTCGACCTTCACCTCCCGAGCCTGTTGGGGAGTTGCAGCGACGTGACAAGATTAAAATTGGGGAGAAAAAGGGGGTTAAATAAAAAGAACATCCCCATCAAAATCTCGTTTTTTTTGCATGGGCTGCATCTCAATCCACTGCATCCGCCGATGTCGGCCTTCCGTATCTGTGGTGGAAGGTGGAGGAGCTACAGTTGTGTTTGTCAGACCAGGAGACATCTCGAAGATCGTTCTTCTCACAAAAACATCTGTTTGGCCTAATAATTAATTTGACCCTCTACAATCTCCGCAAGCGACTCCTCTGAAGGTACCATGTACCGAGCCAAAACATTTATGGAAGTGATTAGGGCATTTCCACGTCAAAGGTATACAGGTAATTCCATGGTACCTTACAATTTTGACAATCTGTTTTTTCATGTATGAATCTGTTATTTAATGCGTTTCTATGGGCTAATAGCAGTAAGGCCAAATTCAATGTTTCATCAAATCATTTT